TCTGTGACTTTCAGCTGCATAGATAAGCTATGCACCAACATTTAAGTGTTCCTAATACAGTGGTTCCTAATACTCGGGTCAGCGGTTCGAATCCCCGCGGCGGGGTGCGATCCCGCTGCTCGGTCCCAGCGCCTGCCAACCTAGCAGTTCGAAAGCACCCCCGGGTGCAAGTAGATAAATAGGGACCGCTTACCAGCGGGAAGGTAAACGGCGTTTCTGTGTGCGGCTCTGGCTCGCCAGAGCAGCGATGTCACGCTGGCCACGTGACCCGGAAGTGTCTCCGGACAGCCCTGGCCCCTGGCCTCTTAAGTGAGATGGGCGCACAACCCTAGAGTCTGTCAAGACTGGCCCGTACGGGCAGGGGTACCTTTACCTTTACTAATACTCGGGTTAAGAACTTAATTCATTCTGGAGGTCTGTTCTTAACCTGAGGTACCACTTTAGCTGATGGGGCTTCCCGCTGCCGCCATGCGGCTGCCGCGCAATTTCTGTTCTCATCCTGAAGCAAAGTTCTTAACCTGAGGTACTATTTCTGGGTTAGCGGAGTCTGTAACCTGAAGCGTCTGTAACACGAGGTACCACTGTATATTGATTTTAGTATTCAATCAGTCTTTATAGCCTACTTTCCTAGGATCACATTTGAATCCATATTCTACTGGATCTGTCATGTTGATGGTTGATTTATCCACTGGATGCTAACTTCTAGGAATGTGCACATTACCTCCTGTTAATATTACTTCACATTCCCCCGCCTTGCATTTCATTTTCTAATTCAGCTTTTTGGGTGGGGCAGACAATGAAGTATGATGCTATGATGAACCATAGCTTATCACGATGGGAAGCAGCTACAAGAAGCCTCAGGCCCTTTCTCCACTCTCCTACTCCAGCACAGGCTCAAGGAGAGAGGAAACCTTTGCTTAACTGCACTTGAGAGCTATGTCTGAACGCTAAACTGTGGTTAATCTTAACTATATTTTCTTGAAACGAGAGGGCTTCATAATCCAAAGTTTGAAGTTGGCTTAAAAAACACCCCAATGTTTAGATTAGCCACAGTTTTTCAGGTTTAGATAAGATGACTAGCTGCCGTTGATCAGAAGCGGCAGCAGAAGAGCTTCCATCTTCCTCCCCAAAGCCACACTGCAGAATGGAAGGAAATGGGCCTATTGTCTGAATGGAGCCAGTGTTCCAGTTCATATCTTTACACCAGGTCCTAGTTCAGGGGTCAGCAAACTTACCGCGCCTGGGGCCGGTGTCTCCAGCACCGATCATGCGGCAGGCCGGAGGGTGGGGGAGCGCATGCGCACACACATGCACACACGCTGTTTCTGGTGCACTTCCGGGTCGGAGGAGCACTGGAAATAGCTTGTGTGCACGGGCCTCTGACCCAGATGTGCACCGGAAACAACACTTGCGCATGCACAAATAACGCTTGTTCATGTGCACAAGCTATTTCCGGTGCTCCTCTGACCTGGAAGTGGGCAACAGCGCAGCGCCAGTAAGATTGGGCAGCAGGCACCGGGGGTCACCGCAGGCCAGATAAACAAGTCCCTTGGGCCTTATCTGGCCTGCGGACCTTAGTTTGGGGACCCCTGTCCTAGTTCCTTCTCTTTCATTTACGGTAGAAAGTGACTATGGAAAGGATCCCAAAGTGGTGGCCATATATGGGTTGTTCCATTCAAACTTATTGCTACAAGTGCTTCCTCTTCAGCTCTTCTCCTATCCTTGGCTATTCACCAACACAATAGAGTCCCCCACAAAAAACCCACACCCCTATCCCAGTCTCTTTCATGCCCCCATTTTGTGGCTATCTGCTTCCTATCCACCCCATTTCTCACACACAATTGTAACACACCAATACAGTTTCTAGCCAAGATGAGGCTTAATTCACTTCCAAGCAGCTGAAAATCAGCCTGAGTCAGTAGCTGGACAAGTAGGGAAGCAGAGTACAGCATTAGCAAAAGGTTTTGTTTTCACTTTGTAGAACTGAGAACCCAAAATGTTCTGGGTAACTGCATTTGCCCACCTCGTTCCAGCTTTAGGAATCTGCGAAGGCAGACCCTGTGGTAAAGGAGGGGTGCTAGAGTCTGTACCATATATCTAGAAACATCTCCATGTTCCTGGTTGTATAACCAAAAGTTGGCATGCGCCATGTAGCCAGTGGGTCATTATTTAGGGCATTATATAGTTATTGCCTGGTTTCCTGTCCTTGTAGCTGCTGGATAATGACTGGGGGGAAAGGAATGCAGCCAGAATGTGCAGGATTTAACCAAACTTGAACCCAAGCCTATGCAACTTGTTACCAGAATGCACCAGGTTTACTGAAGTCCGAATTGCCTGCCATACAGGACTAGCGAGTTGCATTTGACTTGATGGGTCCCAAGTTATGCGAATCTGCTTTAATGACAGTGTCAGTCATTTGCCTTCCTGGTGAGATAGAAACAGACACTGGGTTTCCCCCCTGTTTAAAAACTAAATATTTAAAAAGTTCTTTTAGCATGGGCGTAGCCAGGATTTATGTTGGGGAGGGGCAGGACACCCGCTTGGCACCATCCTCTGTCTGGCTCTGTCTAGCAGATTCGGAATGAAATGTCTCAACAGCAGTTGTTTTGAATTACTTTCTTTTGACCCCAAGTGCTCGGAAAAATCTGTCAAAATCTTCAGTCATTTGAAAATTATGCAGTTAAATAAAAAAATATCACCAGGGAGTACCTTTCATGTGGTTAACATTTTGCAATATTACAAAGAACACACCTTTCTTATCTTATTTTTAAAAATATCTAAACTAAAGCAAGTTTTCTTGGATTTACTGAAATCCTTTTCAGCACTTCCATGTGATTGGTCAATTTGCGGAAGACACGCCCACCTCTCAGTCAGGTTACCAGTTGCGTTGCTAGAATGCACCACAACGATTTCAAATATTCTGATTATTTCTACTTTTAGTTTAGGTTTTTTATTTACAGTAGTACCTCTGGTTGAGAACTTAATTTGTTCTGGAGGTCCGTTCTTAACCTGAAACTGTTCTTAACCTGAGGTACCACTTTACCTATTGGGGCGTCCCACTGCCGCCACGCTGCCCCAGTGCGATTTCTGTTCTCATCCTGAAGCAAAGTTCTTAACCCGAGATAATTCCCAGGCTATGCTACTTGCCTGCCCAAACTGGTACCGAGCAAAGGAAATCCTTGAAGGGATGTTAACCCAAACCTGGCGTATTGAGCAAAAGCCAGGCCTTCCTCCCCGCTGCAGCAGAGAGGCAAATACGCTTTGGGACAAGGAAAAGAGGTGGCGAAAGCCTTGGAAACAAGAGCAAAATGTAAATGTGTTAAATGGCACATGAACTAGTTGGGCTCCGTTGATTTATTACTGGAAAAGCTGTCAAAGGTTCTGGTTAGCTTGCATTAAGAAAAAGAAAAGGCACTAATGTGTTCGTAGCAGTCGGGGCAGAGGGGGGGATGGTTAAAGTATATCAGCTGTAAATTGGTGCAAAGCACTAAAAGGGACATTAGCCTCTAATCAGATTCCAACACTTCATTAAACCTGCCGGCTGGCTTTGAGAATGGTTCTTTTGTCTCCCATCTCTCTGCCCCTCCTGGCCTTACTTTCAGTGGGAGGGGGCCCCTTAATCCATTTGGGCAAAACCACCTCTGGGATGCAGAATAGCAGGCTTGGCTCATCCTTCATTTTCTTACAGGCTACAAGCAGCCATTGGCAAGCCTGCACAGCTGGTGACCCACCAGGGGCACATCAGCCATGTGTACCAGCCTGTGGAGGCTCAATAAAACCTCCCAGTTTTGCTTCTTGCCTGTAAATACAAAGAAGAAGATCTGAGGAGGGGGGAGCCAAGCCCCTGGTAGCCTATAACGTATAGCTGACGGGCTGCTTTTGGCTTGACAGATCCTAAGCTAGGCAGGTCTGGCTCCAGGGATATTTTATTGTAGAATCGGGCCCAGTCTTGCAGCGAATATCAGGGCTGGCTTTTCGCAACTCACAAAAGAGGGAACAATTTTAAATGAAAGGCTTTGAGTGTGGTTGAAATGAGAGCCGCGCTGGTGCCCCCCCCCTTTTTGACTCCACCCTAGGCTAATGGCCAAGCCACAGATGCTGGATGACACCCTAGGATGTGAAATCTGGGCCCAATAAGTAAACACAAACTTTTTCTAGGAAGAGGATTAATTCTGGAATGATTTCTTTCCATGCTTTGGGGCACCTTAGTTGAAATTCCTAATCACTTATTAGTTCACACAAACCCCACCTTCACCCACCACTCCGATAGGAAATTAGCTAAACCCACATTTTCTTTGTGTTCCTTAGGGATGACTTTTCCTCCTAAAAGCAAGTAATGGCTTTTATTTGATTGGAACTTTTATGTGTGTGAAGACCCAAAGCATCAAATTCTGCTCCCAGATATTCAGAATTCTGAAACAAGAAAGCTGAACCTTGCACCCTGTTTTTTAATTTTTTTTTTTTTTTTTTTTGCAAATTAATAAATTTCCACACAGTCTCTTATTTGCATAATTTAGTTTGCAGAGCTCTGTTGGTGCAGCTGTGAAGGGCACTGAACTTCCATCCCCTATCACAGGAAATCAATTTCAGCCACTTTTCTCACTTCCCAGACATTAAAGCAGGCATTAAACCATGCCTTTTGGAGCACATCTTTGCAGCCATGATGGCTAGAAACTTGCTATTTAAAGAAAGAAAACCTGAGATGCTCAGGAAGCTGAACGATGTGCCCAACAGCACACTCTGTTCTTTCCTGTGGAATTATGACATAGTCATAGCTCTGGTTATGTAACTTGTAAGGAAAGTGACCTCAAAAAGTAAGTAGTGTTGATATTTTGGTAATATGTTCTAATTTATTTAAACTTACACAGTTGATGAATTGCTTGACTTTCTTTCTTTTCTTTTTTAACTTCCGAGAAGTCTTGAATTGGTTAAGTGCCCTGGTGATTTCATGGCTTCTCCCTTCTCAAAGCTCACCCTTGTTTTCCTTGTTCTCTTTAAAGGACATTAACACATTGGAAGCAGGATGCTAATGCTTGATGGGATGCCTGCAGTCAGAGTCAAAACAGAGCTGCTGGAATCGGAACAAGGCGTAAGTGCGAGTCTCTTTCATCACAATTTCATTTTCCTTTTTGCCTAGTCACGTTGTTGGTAAACCTTTACAGGATTTCCCTTTGCTCCTCTCCCTGTTTCCGCAGACAGGCGACTTTTTTTTTGCAAATTCCCTTCTCCTGGTCGACTCAGGTAACATCTATTTCCTCAGCACCTCCAGTCCACTTGGCCAAGACTCCTCTGTTAGTCAGGAAGCTGCATCACGACACCCTAAACCATGGGTAGCCAGTGCAGTGCCTTCCAGTTGTTTTGGAGTCCAACTCCCATGAGCCTCAGCGAGCAAAACTAATTGTCAGGTATGATGGAAGTTGAAGCTGAAAACATCCATAGCACACAGCAATGGTAATCCCTATGCCAAACCATTGGCTTTCAAACTGGGTGTGAGGAAAACCTTGAGCTCCTTTGGAAGCTTTGCTGTGGTTCCTTGTGGAGAAGATCGGGGGTGGTGGACAAGATTTCACCACTTGCTTGCAGCTACTGATCATCCCTTTAAAAGGCAGTGGGGAACCTTCCCCAGGTACTGAAATTGAAATATTTTATTGTCACTTGTGCAACTTGTATACAATGAGATTACATGAGCACCCCCCACTCAGCTCTCTTCGTCTTAATTCCCCTCGTTTACTGACGCACACCCACCAAACCCGAAAGTCAGTTGCCCTGTTGTTATCTTTTCATTCAGCAGCCTAACAGCCCACGGATAGAAGCTGTTCTTTACCCTGTTGGTGCGACTAATCATGCTTCTGTATCTTCTGCCTGAGGGCAGGAGATCAAGAAAGTGCCGGCCAGGGTGTGAATCATCCCTGGGAATTTTCCTCACTCTCCTGCGGCAACGTTCTTCCGCTATTTCATCCAGCGGATTCACGGGACAGCCCATAATATCTTGTGCTGTATTCACCACCCTCTGTAGGCACTTCCTATAAGTTGATGTCAAACCACCGTACCACACTGTGATGCAGTATGAAAGGACACTTTCTATTGTGGACCGGTAGAAGGAGATCATCAAATGTTGATTGACATGGTTCTTTTGCAATACTCTGAGGAGATGGAGTCTCTGTTGGGCTTTCTTAACCACCTGGGTTGTATTGATTTTCCAAGTAAGGTCTTCACTGAGATAAACTCCTAGGATAAACACCCTTGCTTGGGCTCTGCATATCATTGGACTGTTAATAATGCCTCTTGGAGGGTAGACAAGAAGGTGTGGGTGGGTGGGTGTACATGTGTGGAAATCTTTTTCCGGCTGGAATGGGTCCTCCTGCAAAATGGAAGACTCCATTCTATTGATCTTCCCACTTTTGCTTCTGGTCCCACCTGCTGCTGGAAAGCGTTCCACAAGGAGATGCAATCCTGAAGCTGATGCAGATCCCCCACCCCTACTTTACAATGGGCAGCCGGCTGGTAGCATTGAGCGTTTCCAAAGGTATACCCTCGGTTCGTGGGGAGCAATGCAGGGGCCCTGTCACCCAAGCACCTTTGCAGGACACATTGGCAAGTGGGAGTAGGCCCACGTCTTGCCAAGTGATTTGGTAGAACACAGTGCCTGGACGTGTTTCCTTATATCTGTATAATCAAAGAAGCTCAGTGCATGCCTGTTTGTTTTGTTTTTCATAGAATTGTTGGAAAGGACCATGAGAGTCATCAAGTCCAATACCCTGCAATGCAGGAATTTTTTTGCCCAATGTGGGGCTCAAATCCTCAACACCAAGATTAAAATTCTCGTGTTCTATTGACTAAGAGGACTAGAAAAATCCCCTGAAGGGTCTAGGCCATGACAGACCCTTCCCAGTAGCTCTAATCCCATGGGTTGAAGGCGAGCCCAACTGTCCCCATCCTGAACATTTTAAAAAGGTCCAGGCCATCAGGAGAAAAAGTTCTGGCCCACCACTCAGACATGAATCCCTGCATTCACCTGTTCCTTACCGCTTTAATGCTTCACTCTGTTGCATGTGCAGAACCAGTCCCCCAATTCTGTATCTTGTTGTTCGGTTCTTGTCCCACCCCCGTGGTTATGAAGCAATTTTAGCCCAAGGACTGGTTGAGTATGTGAGACACGCCAGCTACTCTTTGAATTTGGAAGGAGTTCCTATCAGTTACAGCCCCTGGCCCTCTGAGCTCTAACTAGGTTTAGCGAGAGAACGAAGCAACGACTATCCGTGCAGTGGAAGGAAAGGTAATCGTAGTACTAATGATTATTATGATGGCAGCATAAAGCCTCTGTGAGGGAGGCTCAGAGTCTTTCCATCAGTGCAAGCATGACTTAGTTCGGTGATTTTATGTGTTAAGACTGCCTCTCCGCCAGAGAGATCTAGGCAGGATCTAGAAAATAGTTGTGCTGCTATGTTGCTTCAGAACAATTCCATTTACTCACATGGAGTAGCTAAGCTGGGGTTTCTCAATAGGTGGCCAGAATCTATAGAAACGGGGGGCGGCAGGTAGATAGAGATGAAATTAAAACTTGAATCTGATTCTTGCCAGAGAACCTCTAACTGTTGAATGGAGGTATCTGAAGAGAGATCCTTTTATGTTCGGCCATGCAACTTGTGCATCCTAAGAACATAAGAGCCCTGCGGAATCAGACCCAAGGTCCATCTACTGCAGCATCCTGTTCTTGCACCAGAAGCCCCAACAATAGGGATGCCTGCTTTATCAGATGTGGCAAGTTCCCTTTCAGGTTGTTAGTGGCAAGTGCCACCAGTAGTTTATGGAAGAAGCAGCACCAGTTGGTTGGTGGCGCTTGTTCACAACATCCAAAGCTTCCAGAGGTAGAGAGCTGAGTTTTCTCGGGGCTAAATAAGCTGCTGTGTGGCTTTATTGAAAATGTGCTGGCCACATGCTTTGTAGCTGCTGTCTAATGCACCTAGATGTTACCATAGTGGCAAAAAGTGAATAAGTTTGCCCCCTAATGATCATCTCTCTGCTTGCACTTTCTGCCTTAGTAACTTAGTGCACTGCGCCGTGTATCCCAGGGTTGTGAGTGGAGATAGCTGCACCGAAGCCTTGTGTGAAAAAAAATGTATAATGAAATGATGGGATAGCTCTCATCCCTTTTTATACACCTCTTGTAAAGCTGTTCCACAACCCTGCAGCAAAGCTTGTTGTTGCAAACTCTGCATTGTGCTTTGTCAAGTAAAAATGAGAATATGCCTCCTGTGGCAGATAAAAGTGGTAAATAATCTTGTTTGTATGTTAAACTTTTCAATTTTCTCTTGAGTTCTTCTTTGTTAGGCTTTTAAGCATTGTTATATATATATTTTTTCTTTTAAGGTGCCTTTTGTAAACTGTGTTGCTTTTCTCATTCCTGCCGGGAAGGACTGAAAGATTGATACTCCTTTTAAGCACTATTGGCGTTTTTGTTACCGCCTTTGTGGAGATGATTGCTCACATAAGTTATCTTTCAGACCTCTCTCCCTCTCCCAGATTTTGTCGTCTTTATTTCATGCTTGAAGGAGAAGTTGTTAAGCTGTTATTTAGAGACGCCGGCATTCCATTTGTGATGCTCTGCGCCTTCTTACTACCACAGAATGCCATTATTACACATGTCTTGGGGCCCAGCAGTTTGCAGCGAGAAGGAATTTGTGGATAAATGGCGGTTTCATGCTTTGTTAGTGGGGAGCATGAATTAGGCACACCTGCAGCAATCCTGCAGCAGAACCAGGCCCTTGCGTTCACACGTAGAACCCTCATTAGGACTTTGTGAAGTCACTGGGCGTGCCAAATGTCATGCGGTATTAGCAATCTCATCCACGCTGAGCCTCCAGGCACCTTGGAAGGAGCTTTAAGGCAGCCTGAGTATTTATCCAAGCTGTGCTGGACATCACACACTACCTTCTGGACCAGAAATTGGCATCTCCGGGGTGCAATTTAGAAATAAGTTTGGTCCCTGAGAGATCTCAGGAATCCAGGCTGAATTTTGGTAAGGAGGGGAAGAAACGGTGCCCTCCCTAAAGTTTTAGCACTTAAAAGACTCACGGCCGAATGTGTGCTGAAAAATATTGGTAGCGTGGGTTACAATTCAAAGTGTAACAATTCAAAGTGTTGGTGCTGACCTTTAAAGCCCTAAACGGCCTCGGTCCAGTATATCTGAAGGAGCGTCTCCACCCCCATCGTTCTGCCTGGACACTGAGGTCCAGCTCCGAGGGCCTTCTGGCAGTTCCCTCACTGCGAGAAGCCAAGTTACAGGGAACCAAGCAAAGGGCCTTCTCAGTAGTGGCACCCGCCCTGTGGAACGCCCTCCCATCAGATGTCAAAGAGAAGAACAACTACCAGACTTTTAGAAGACATCTGAAGGCAACCCTCTTTAGGGAAGTTTTTAATGTTTGATGTATTACAGTATTTAAATATTTTTTTGGAAGCCGCCCAGAGTGGCTGGGGAAGCCCAGGCAGATGGGCGGGGTATAAATAATAAATTATTATTATTATTATTATTATTATTATTATTATTATTACTACTACTACTACTGTACATGAAGAAACTGCACCCACTTTGCTGCTCCCCATACCTCCCTGATTGCGCAGAAAGGAAACAAGCATCACATTCAAACTAGCAATTGTGGGTGTTGGGAGTGAAACAAAACAAGCAAGCAACCCCCGGTTGCGATGTGACTTCTCCCTAAGAATCCTGGGGATTGTAGTTTGCCTAGGGCAGCACTTCTCAACCTGTGGGTCCCCAGAAGTTGTTGGACTACAACTCCCATCATCCCTGAGCTCTGGCCTTGCTAGCTAGGGGTGATGGGAGTTGTAGTTTAACAACCTCTGGGGACCCACAGGTTGAGAAAGGCTGGCCTAGGGTGTTGGGAATTGTAGCTCTGCAAGTTCCCTTTATTCTTTGGGGGAAGCTATGTGCTTTTAATGTTGTTGTTTTTTTGGGGGGGTGCAGCCTTAGAATCCTTCTAATACGTGTCCGTAGCTTCTTTATTTTACTATGCTCATTGGTGTTCTAAAATGCAGATAATCAGTAGTGTGAAAATTACAGATAAAAAAACC